TTTTTCCCAAATTTTTGGTTTTTTTCCGTTTTTTTCCTGGTAAAAAACGTTTTTTTCCTTCGATTTAAAAAAAAACCGGTTTTTTTCCTTCCCTACACACTATGCTGCTGTTTGAGACTCTGGACAAGCTGACTGGTGTTGAGGTCCAGAGAGTAGGCTGTACGGACCACAATAAGGCGTTGACAGCCAGTGTGATAACGTTCTACATGATGTGTAGAGTGCACTCTGTATGTGCTGATACTAACAAGGTCTATTCAGACACCAAAAGAAAAAAAAAGGACCTGGCGAAGCAAGCAAAATTAAATTAACCTCTATCTACACACAGGTGGCGCATGATCATTGTACATTTTAATAAACTTACACTTTCGTCGACCATAAAATAATATCATGGTGTCGTGATTCTAGAGTTGCATTGTTATGATGCACGTAAATATTCTGAAATCTTTTAGGCCATTCATTTACCGGCAGCTTCCCCCCTGTCTTGCCTCGCTCGCCGTAGCCGTTCTCGCATCTCGCTCTTGTCGCACGTCGCAGTCTACGCAGTCCCCACGCCCCTCCCCGTCCCCCCTCCTCTCCTCCAGCCTCCAGCCAGCCGGGCCGCTGGCGGAGCCGTGTGGGGGGAGGGGTAGGGTGGGGGTGTCCTATGACCGATCGCTGCGCTGCGGGGCCGGGCGAACCGACTTAATGCTACGGGATCTGGTGCCACCGGGGGGCTTACTACATCGTGTTTCACAGTTTCGTATCTCTCCGAAATGAATTCCTGACTTTTAGACATGTCTTCGATTTCTTTTCTAAGGCTTTCAGTGCTGTCATTAATTTTCCTGCTCAGTAGCTCCACGAGATTTTTAAGGTTAGGTTGGTCAGCACAGTCTTCCCGGCGACAGTACCACTTTTGAGTGTTGTCACTGCAAAATTTCTGGTAGACCTCATCACTCATTCTCACACAGCTTTTGAGGAAAAATCTCTTGCATTTTCCTTCACAATTTATTGACTTCTCTGTGTTTTTGATGCATTTTTCACAAGGAGCACAAGTAGACGCCATGTCACCGCCTTCTCGCTTTGACTTCTCGCTATGCTAGAAGATACAATCAAATCCCTACTTTGTAGCCCTAGTCATACTGATACCAATAAGCAATTGGCCAGATTTGTTTATGTTTTTCAGAGTCACCATGGCATGCGCGCAAACTTTTGAACTAAAGAACACAAGAGTGAGTCATGCCATGCCTTTTCTACTGTGAGGATGCGTAACTCTGACTAATCGAATGTTTATTTAAGTCCAATTGTCCACTGTGTCACTCCTGGTGGTCAGCAAAAAATCAAGAAAACTGCTATGTGCAACGAGTCGTTACGATTGTATGTTTTTATCCGCCACCCATGGAGTAAATTACAAAGTAAGTAATTGTAATCTTTTCAGTGCACGTCGCATTCAAGCTGTGCAGAGTGATGCAACAAAGGAAAAGTTGACTAATACTTTGTTGGGCCACCATTACCGTCAATGACACCCTGAATGCGGAGTGGCATTGATGAAGACAGCGCGCTGAAAATGTTTGTGGCCCCCGGGCCACAGAAACGAAAACTTCAGCACCGTGCTGCTCGAGCTCCTCAACTGTCCGCTCATTGCGGTTGTCCCACTCCGAAGCAATCAACCCAAAAAAGTTTTCGATGGGATTACAATCCGGGGAGTATGGGAGCCACAGTATTTTTATAGTATTGTCCTTGCCGTCAAACCATTCCTCCACTATATTTGCAGTATGAATAGGCGCATTATCGTGCATAAAGTTGAAGGGTCCCCCCCCCCCCCCAAATAGCCGGCAGAAAAGATTGCTCAAGAACATTCCTGGAACAAATGTAAATAATTTTATGACACGAGTGAGTTTTGAAAAACGGTGGAAAAATACATTTGAGACCACTTATTTGGGTAGCGAGCAAAATAATACGCACTTTCCCGCACAATCCAGAAAGGTAAAATCTCGTCACTCCGATTCAAGGAAGTCTAATCTCTCTTGGCGGCTCGACAGTTCGGCAAGCCGTATATCTCTTAACTTCGAGTCTTGGGTTGTAATAGTGCTTTCCAGGTATACGATTTTGGATGAAAACTGCCCCAACATTTTTATATTTCGAACGGTTGGATGGCCCTAGCTCGCCTTCTATTGTTACGTGATTTAAAAACCTCAACTGTGTGCGGGGCACAGGGCTGCCAGATTGGGCGGTTTTCCGCCATTTGGGCGGACCAGCGAGGTCAACTGGCGGATCAAATTTTGAGGTGGCGGAAAACCGCAATTTGGGCGGAAAACGGACATGACAAGGCGGAAAATGGGCGGAAATCCCGTCTCGGCGGAATTTACGATACTTTGTCTCGTTTTCTTGTTACTTTGTTGGCTGCACTGGTCACCGCCGACCAGCAGACCGTACCAGACGTGCGCAAAGGCTACGACAGCACAGCCGTTTACAGTTTCACATTCAGGCAAGGTTCTATGCCACACTGATTGCAATTCGTCATTGAAAGTGCGCGAGGTTCAAAGGATCGAACATGGTGGGCAAGACACCTCGGGTGAGAGGTAGATATACCAAGTATACAAGACACTATAACAAAGATTGGGAAAAAGTTCCGGAATTTGCCAGTAAGTCGTCGCCCCTGAACAAGAATAACGGATCTGAAAACCCCACGAGTGAAATAACCGATCTGCAAACCACGAAATTTTGGGTTAACTTATAAGCTCTTAACAGCGCATATAAACATTGATTTCAGAAACAATATGCACGTGTATAGACACTACAGGTCATCATGAAAAAAATGTAGTTAGATGAAATTGAAAAACTTAATTCCTTAACGGCTGGGTAACGGGTAAAGTCTACCGAAAAATGGCGCGTATGCAGATCGGTTATTTCACTCGTGGGGTTTTCATATCCGTTATTCTTGTTCGGGGGCGACGTAAGTACAACCTAACCTGCAACCTGGTCGGTTGCCAGTGTCTGTAATCTATAAGTTGTGTATTTTTTCTATAAATTTGTGTCACTCCTCGTGTAGGCTGGATCTCGGAAACCCCTCAACACCTCCAAGACTTAGGAATGCCCGAAGCATGGTGCAAGTTATGCAGCTGTCCACTCCGGGCACACAGGGATGGACTTAAGGATCATTTGGTTACAGACAAACATAAGAAGAATGCGGCTGCCGTGCCAACGAACAGGGCTAGTACTCTTACTAACTACGGTACGCTATCTTTCGAAACATGATTAATAGTTTATTTTTCGCCCGTCAGATTTCTGTATGTTTTACTTATGTCTCATATTCTGGTACTAGGTTTTAGGGTCAAAACCAAAGAATCAAAAGAAAGGGATCTGGTATTAGCGGCGCATGTGGCTTGTCACAGCAGCGTTAGAACTATCGACCACTTAGGCGAGATCATCAATTGCATCTCTTCTGAAGGAAATAGACAGCCACCTTTGAAGTTGCACCGAACTAAGTGCTCCAAAATAATCTGCAAAGTCATTTCTCCCTGCATGCAGAGGGATTTAGTCAAAGATGTCGGCGATTGTTGGTGTTGGTTCTCCCTCATAATTGATGAGTCTACCGACACAACAACAATGAAGCATTTAGCTATTATGATTAAATACTACAGCCACAAACATAAGTGCATGATTTTGGACTTCCTGGGACTTGTGGAAACACCTGAGTGCACTGCTACAATCTTATACAATGTGATTAAAGAATTTTTAAAGAAAATAGGCCTTAACATAAAGAAGATTCTTGCTCTGGGCACTGATGGAGCTGCTAATCTCTGTGGTGCACACCATTCAGTGTTTTCCTTACTTAAGCAGAACGAGTGCCCCAATTTACACCTTGTGAAGTGTGTGTGCCATGGCCTAGACAAATGTGCCAGCAAGGCCAGTGTGGCCTTTCCTTCTTCACTTGGATATTTGATAAGAGAATCAAGGAACTGGTTCTCCCACAGTGCTTTGAGGAAGGTGCAATATGAAAGGGAGTACAAGGTAATTTATTCCAAATAGTTTTATTCATAATCAAGTAAAAACAAATTGCTAACAAATTTTCTGTTACAATTTTTTATTCAGGCACTCACCGATGGGCAAAAGCCACCACTTCTTGTCAAGCTGGCTACGACACGGTGGTTGTCCTGGTATGGCGCCGTAAAGTCGCATTTGCTGCAGTACTCTGAACTGCGCCACCTGTTCCGGCAAGCAGCGGACGCCGATCCAGAGAAAAAGAAATGCCCGATGGCGCACCAGCTCGCCGCCCTTCATGAAGATGGCTCCCATCTCTTGTACCTAGCATTCCTCAAGCCGATTTTACGAGAATTGACATCTATAAATACACTGTTTCAAAGCTCTGCGGCTGACATTGCTGTAGTTT